TCACACAATGATGGTTTTTGTTCTTTGGTGTCTGCTACCTGATCCCTTCAACACCTCATGTTCACACAGGTTTATGTGCTTCTTCTCTAATGACAAAAAGGAGGTGTCATCAGCCTGCAACACAATTGATAGGTTGGGCCTTAACCCTATCCTTACTGAGGCGTGTCTACCCTAATCCCCTTGGGCTTTGTCATGCCATAGGCTTTTTATCCACAACTCTTTAAACTTCAGATCAACCAGCCCATTCTCATCTCATCTGTAGTGCCTGTGAACCAGGTCCACAAATGTCAGTGGCCAGACTCAACTTATCTCTCCATTGCTGAACTTCTCCACTTCCACCCAACAAGTGGACCTAGGTAGTCACCTAGTAGGAATCTCAGGTTGTCTGCAAGTTCCCTTCAACCTTCAGTCCTAGAAGGGAGAATTCTCTCATGAGCTCAGAGTTTTCCAGCTTAGGCTCAAAATTCAAAAAGTCAAAATCACATTTTTTTCCCTCCTGCAGTCCCTTAACAGGTCTAGTTGCATGCTTTTGCAAATGCAAATGTTCTGGCACTTAAAGCACTCCAAACAAAAACCCAAACTCACTGTCATTGAGTCCATGCTGACTCATAGTTATCCTTTAGAACAGGGTAGAACTATCCCTGTGAATTTACAAGACTGTAACTCATGGGAGTCAAAAGCCCTATCTTTCTCCTGTGCATTAGTTGATGGTTTTGAATTGCTGAGCTTGCTATTAGTAGCCCAAAGCATAACCACTATGACACCAGGGCACACTTCATTTGATAACACGCAAATCCAATCCTCTCTTCTCTAAACTATACCATTTGTGTGTAATATGGCCATAGACCTACAGAAGGATACAACAAGGGCCAGGTCTTCTGTCATCCATTTGAATAGGTAGGAAGGCCTTTGCCTTAGCAAAGTCCAAGAAGCATTCTTCCCCACCTAGCTAGGATTTAATATCCATTACATTAATGTTCACCATTTCAGGTAGGCATAAACAAAGACAGCTTCTGCGAATCAAAAATTTCACTTCCAATGCCCTTTCCAGATAACAACTGAGTAAACTATAAGGCCATAAATTAACTCCTTGGTTATCCAAAGGATAAAGAAAGTCCAACTCTATCTGATTGCCATGAGGAAGAGGTCAGACAAATTAAATATCCATCTTCATGATTTGTTTTTCTAGAACCCCATTCTACTGATACCACGTGGTGTTAGGCTAGGTTGTCTAGAGAAACAAAACCAGTGACTCTTGTATATGTGTAAAAAAAAGTCTTATATCAAGAGGCATCCCAGCTCAGTCCAACTCAAATCCAGAAGTCTGATGCTACACGAGGTCCTCTTCAGACTCATGGAGCTGGAGGCAGGTGATGCAGGAAGATACAGCAGCATGCTGGAAGAGCACATGCCAGTGCATGCAGATTTGTGCGGATCCAGAGTCAATGGAAACATGACCGGGCACCTACAGCTCTCTGGGTCATACAGCCCACGTGGGGCGCTCTAGAAGCAGGCAGAAAGCTGAAAAGGGAAAGCGCAGAGAGAAAAAGGAACGCTACCAGTGTCTCTCACTCTTACACAAAAAGGCTTATGACACCAAGGAGGTGTCATCAAGCTGCAACCTCATTGAAGGTTAGGCCCCACCTTAGTCCTTTATTCAGCAGTGTCTAGTTGACGTAATCCGTAACAATCACATAGACTTTAAAACCTATTATATAGACACGTTAATCAAACATCCTGATAGACATAAAGACCAATGGATTAAAACTGAGAACCCAGAAATACCTGCTTTTTGATATAGGACTAACACACATTAAATGGTGCAGAGTAGCCTTTTTAGTAAATGGTATTGGAAGAATTAAGTCGCCATCTGCAAAAGGAAAAATGGGACCCACACTTCCCCTTGTGTACAAATACAAATTTGTGGTGGAAGAAAGACCTGTGTGCTTCACCTCTATTGTATTGTTCTGACTTCTGCTTTGAGGCAGAGAATGTTCTCTGCTTTTAAGAACTCGTGCAAGTTCATTGGGCCCACCTGGATAATCCTATCTTATGGCTCATAACCTTAATCACAGCTGCAAGTCCTTGTGGGATATAAGGCAATATTCATGGGCTCTGAGAGGTAAAGGTTTTGCATCTTTGAGGGCCATTATGCAACCTACACACCTCTCCCTCCCTAAACCTAATTGAGTGACCATGAATGGTGATTCCAAATCATGATGTAGATATCTCTGGTTCATTTTTGGTATATTTCTGCCAAAACCTGAATGTGTTTGGACACTTTCAGACCTTCTTGTATCTGTGGCACACTTAGTGTTTGGTTACCAGTCAAACCTACAGCTCAGTACAGGGGCCAGATGCTCTGGGGATTCTTGAGCCTCTGCACTTTCTTAGTTAGAGGACCTTCCCCAGCTCACCTCCTGCACATCTATTTATGTGTCTTCAGTAAAATTCAGAAGAGAGGAAGACACCAATATATAGATTAACTCTCCCTCCACAAAGTGAAAAAATGAGGACTGTCCTGGGGTAGTGAGGATGTCTGCCCTGAGCTGCCCACACAGTCTGCTATCCACGCAGGGCCCCTAGAGGTTGGAGAAGCAAGAGATTTGCCTGCAGGTGTTGGATCACAGGATGGCAGGATCAGCTTGTACGAGTGAGGGAGAGTCCATAGAAATTACTCAGCCGCTGGTCAGTAGTGAAGGGACATCAGTAACCATCCTCAGGCGTTGCTAATCTCCTATTTTAAGAAACTTTGGTGCAATTCGCTTTTAAGCTGGTTTTTTTGTTCGTTTGTTTTCTGTTTTCAGCAATAGAGTTAGGTAGAGGCACGCCAGTTAGACCGGACAGTGATTCTCTAGGAGGCTGTGAGACTGATTGCAGAGGGCTTGAGGATGACTGGCACTCCTTCGGTGGAGACATAAGGAAAGAGGAAAACCTGGGGAAAGGCTTTGCTTAGCGAGTGAGGATGTCTGTTCAAAGCTGCTCCTGGCGTCTCCGATCCACTCCGGGTCTTACACCTTCACAGACCTAGCCAATCATTACTTCGCTGGGGACTCATCATGTTAGTACCATTCTGCTGAAAATTCTGTGGCAGCTTGACAAGCCAGCACATGGTGTATGTAAACCATTCGCTCATCATGAAGATTCTGGAGCTGAATTTAGTTCAGAAAAGTATGCTAATTTTAAGTTGGGTTCTAATGTGGAAAAAGCTATGTGATTTTGTTGTTAGGTGCCATTGTGTTGCATCTGACGCATAGAATGACACACGGCTGTGCCCTGTGCCACCCTCCCAGCCCCTCCTGTTTCAGTCCATTTCTGCAGGCACGATGAAAAGTCCGTCATCTCGCTGAAGGGCTGTATCTTTCGTGCTGACCTGCACCTTTACTGGACACGATGACCTTCTACGGAGACTGATCCCTCTTGATAGCATGTCCAAGTACATGCATGAGCTAACTTTCCTCATCCCTGCTTCTAAGGAGCATTTTGGCTATATTTATTTCAAGACAAATTTGTTCATTCTTTTTTGTCAGTCAATATTCTTCTCCATTACCATAATTTAAATACAACAGTTCTTTTCTCTTCCTTATTCATTGTCCAGTTTTCACATGCATTTAAGATGACTGAAAATACCAAAGAATGAGTCAAGTACCACTTAGTCTTCAAAGTTAGTTTTGATTTTCAATTCTTCAAATAGAACCTTCACAGTGTGTGTGCCCAATACAATATGTTCTTTGATTTCCTGACTGTTGCTTCCATGTACATTGATTGTGGATCCAAGTAAACTGAAATCCTTGACAACTTCAATCTATTCACCATTTATAGTAATGTTGGCTTTTGATCTAGTTGCGAGGATTTTTTTCCTTTAAGTTGAGAATCGAGGTGTAACGTATGCTCAAGATTGAATGGGTTTTTTTTCATCAAGTGTTTCAAGTCCTCCACGATTCTCCACAACAGCAAGCAAAATTGTGTCATCCGCATATATCGGGTTGTTAATACGTTTATGTCTTCCTGCAATGTTGATGCTGTGGTCTTCTGATAAGAGAACTTCCCAGATTATTTACTCAGAAAACTGAGTTAATCAGTGTCGGAATAGAATACAACCCAGATACACATACTTCCTAATTTTAAACGAGGCAGTATTACCAAGTCAAATGACTGCCTCTTGATCTATATAGAAGTTCCCCGTGAGGAAAATTACATGTTACAGATTTCCCATTCTTCACAATGTTATCTATAAGGAGTTATATTATATTTTCAAAATAACCGTGTAGCCCTGACAAAGGAGGAAATGTCACTGCTTGTCTGGAGTAGGTGGCACCTAACCTACAAAGGTCAAGGAAGTCTTTGTTGGTTTCACTAGGATAATTTGGTCACTTCATACATCAGAAAAGGAGACAAATTTACCTCTAGAGAAAAATAGGTCAAAATAGTTTCAAAACAGTGCGTAGTTCAAGGAAGTAGTTACAAAACCTAAGTTAACATCTTTAAAGACATTTGTACTTTGATTTTCTTGTCTTTAAAGACGACTCCATAATGTGTCATTTCACTTTGCAATATTGCCACTTATTTATCTAATCTCCTGAAACAGATTTTCTAAATTACAAGCTAAACCCTCTAAGCAGTAGTGAAGCCTCCAAAATTACATTTTTCAATAAAGCAAAGCGCTGGGCTTGACAGATGTATAATTTCTTATAATGTGTGATATAAAGGTAACGCATAAGCTTGTTCTGTGTTTACATATGAAAAAGCAGCTTTAATTGCGTGCTGGTTGTCTAATGCTTATTGTCTTCTAATTAGGTGGATGCTCATGGAAATATTCTCTTAACGTCACTGGAAGTTCACAATGAAATGAATGAGATAACAGGAGGTGTTGGTGACACGAGGAATTCAGCAATCTCCTTTGACAACTCAGGAATCCAGTACAGGAAACAAAGCATGCCCCGGGAAGGCCATGGGCGACACATGGGGGACAGAAGCATCTCACACAAGAAGACTCATCTACGAAGGAGATCTTCTCAGCTCAAAATAAAAATTCCTGATCTAACCGATGTGAATGCCATAGACAGATGGTCCAGGATCGTGTTTCCATTTACTTTCTCTCTTTTCAACTTAGTTTACTGGCTGTACTATGTTAACTGAGTGACGACTGGATTTTTCAAAGACTTCATTTAACACTGAGTGAAATATTACTCTGCCTGTCAAGTTTTTATACCTATACACACAAATACACACAAACACATGCATATATACATACGCAATTGTATATATATGTGAACTTTCTCAGCATATATATAAAATACATATGTATATGAGGATGTATGTGTATATGATTATACACACGGATGTAAATGCCCATGTGTATACAAAACAAATACACATACATATATACATTTTGCAGCTATGGACAATTCAACACAGAATGCATATTAAAGAGAGTCAGTTTTCTTTTCTTTTTTAATTGAAAGGGACAAGTATCACCTAAATATTATGCTTTGAGAATGAGGATGTGAAACATAATATCCTAAAATGTTTTTTTCTTATTATAAATTAGATTTTTTTAATTCAAAAAAATTCTTAATCTTTAAAATCTCATACAGTGGCATTACTAGTTTTAAATGATTCACACACTTCATATCTTCTCTCAGTTTAATAAATGGAGACTTCTTTGACTTTTTTAGTAAAAGAGATTGTTTTCATCAGGCATAGTTTTTCTGTGACCATTTATTGGAGAAGGTGAGTTACTGACATTGAGCTCACCTACTGTCTGGGACATAGATAGAGCCTGTGTTGATGTCTGAATATCCATCTTTTGAGAACCTATCATTTTATTAGAAGTACTTTAATGTACCATGATTTTTTGGTTTGGTGACTTGGAATGGATTCAATTTACCTGTCTTATAAGAACACAGTAGCACATTTTGACAATGTTTCATTGACATTTTAGTCACAGCAAATGTGCTCTCCATCTTGTTTAAATTTTCAGGCCTGATATCTAATGGACAGCATAGGAGTCTCAGGTTAATTGCTATTCTAAGGTAAAATCATTTAGGATGACTTCCCCTTATATTTATGTTATCAAGCATTCTTACAACATTGTATGTTACTATAAAACGTATTTGCATAATATGCATATATATATGTATACTTACAAAGATTTTGTTTCTTATGCTTGCTCTCATGGCAGCATGCAATGTCATATTTTTCTTTATGTGATGGAATTACTTTCTGTTACCTAGAGTTAAAAATGAAGAGCTAAGACACTTTTACTATTCAACTTCCAAAACAAAGAGACGTTCTCATGCCTTTATTTATGTATCTGAATCATGCCATAAGCACATTCAATTCTGCCTAGATTCACTAAGACACTGCAGGAACATGACTAGTACATACCATGTATCACCCCATGACCCATGACCCTTCTCTTGAGGCAAAGGAGAGCCACTGACAGCAAATACAGTCATGTTTGGTTCCCTCTGATCCACAGCCTCGTAATATTTGGACTTTTTAAAGCTTGTAGAAACAAGACAAGGTGCACTGGTTTCATAGACGCAACCTTAACTTACTATTTAGATGAGATCTTTCTAAAGAAAAAAAAGAGATGATATATTTTTTGTAAACAATATTTCTATCACAGGCATCCATCAACGGAAATGACTCCAGTTGTGCAAGCAGATATCACAGTTAAGCACTTGGATGAGAAAAAAGTAAAATATGAAGAAAAGAACTGCTAAATTAATATTTTATCTCCAAATGCCCCATATGCCCCCACCCTCTCTGTTCTATCCAAAACAAATGACAGAGCCTTGTGTGACACTCTCAGGGCGGGCACCACCTGCCCATGTACGCAGGGACCCTAGAGGATGCTATGGGTATGGACAATCACCAGGAACAATCATTCCACTTTTTAATTTGTTTGTTTTGGGTGGTAATAACAATCATTTATTTGTGGGATTCCCTAACAGTTCAAGACCCACCATCAAGCTAATCCTACCCTTTCCCTGCCTTCATTCCTATATTTCCTCAAAGTCTTTCTAAGAGCTGCTCTCTGGTTTCTTTATTTGCTAAAGACTAACCAGTCATTTGCTATTGTTTGGCTCATCTCTGACAATTGTTATGGGTAACACTGGGGGATTCTCAAAGTTAAACTGATTTGGAAAAAGCTTTGTAAGTGGCCTTATCATTGTTAACATGTCGGGGGGAAACAGACATCTGTGAAGCCCTTAGCCCTTTTACTACTTCAGGTATCTTTTTTCTGCATCCAGGTATTCAAGGTGTGCACTCCATTTGCAGAAGAGGGTCTTCAGAAATGCACATGAACTTGGACAAGAGTAGTGAATAGATGGATTAGTGTACAGTTTATACTATCGTGGCATTAATTCTTTCTGGGGGGAAAAAGTGACCCAAAAATATTTCCTGATGCATAGTTGTTCCCAAACATCACAAGTAGCGACCCCATGAGACTCAGAGAGCTGTAATTCTACTTTCCACAGTTTTCTGGATATACATTTGCATGGTACAGTCATAATAGCTTTTGAGCTTTTTATATGCATTCGGCACCAAGATTGGGATCCATGACTTTGTAGACACGGCAGTGAAGTTAACGTAATGCTACCCTATAAACAGTGTTTGTTACTACACATGCATATACATTCACACATGACCAAGTACATACATATATATATTCTGTAAAAAAAAAAAAGACAAAAAAAGAATTTTTTTGAGATCCTTGATAGGTGTTTGCTTTACACCATTTGAGAAGTCAATTACTTTTACTAAAATTATTTTCTACCGTCTCCACTTAAAAAGAAACAGAACTTCTGACTGTGCTAACAGGAAAGTTTGGTTCCCCATTCTATAAAAATGGTCTTTCAGTGCTCCACAGTATTTTCCTGAGTCAGGAAGTGAGCCATATCAATGAGTTGTGAAACCAGATCTCTAACAGCAAGATGAGGTGGCTGATACGTCCAGAACTCTTGAGAAAGGCGTGTAAGATGTAATTTGGGATATAATGGGATTTGTTCGTAACCTTTGCAAGTAATAAAAAGGTAATTTCTAGGTAGTCTTTCAAATAATGCTTCACAGTGGCTCATATGTACAGAAGACTCTTAAGACACAAAAATTTCAGTTTTATAATTATACATATTCAGATATACTTGAGATAATTCAGGAGCTCAGCTACATAACTGTTCAAATGGAAAGACGTAAAATGCAAGTAATCTTTAAAACACATGTCATTTCTGCTCACTAACCCTGAGATTTTAGAGGAGTTTTTCTGTCAATACCATGAGGCATTCATTTCTTTGACTCCAAATGTACTAGGAAGCACATCATGATAATGTCCCTTAGTGTTTTAAAACCACTGGTACAACTGTAATATCATATTTTTAACACCAGCACCCAGGACATTTGGCATACTAAGACAGTCACATAACAGGTCTTTCTCTCCTGTTCAACCATGAACAATATCATCTCAGAGCTAATGCCGAACAAGTCCGGGGCTGGTTTTAAGGAGATGGGAACATTACAGCTGTCGCTGTCGCTGTTCCATCTCTAGTAGATGACATTGTTGATGCTCGTCCTGCAGTGATGTGGGTTAAAAAAGAATGTGTCTAACTGAATCTCCTGGCTTGAAAGTAGATGTGATATCATAATTCTTACTTTTGCTCTCCACCGAGAAACCAGTTTCTACTTATGGCCATTTTGTGCAAACAAAACTGAACAATTGGTAAAGTATGTTGTTACTCTTTTGAATTTGACTCTGGCCTTTAGTGTGAGCGATCAGCCATGCTAACATTGGATCTTGGGGCAAAGAGCTGCCTGAGTGAATTAACTTTTTCTAGCTTGTGTGATTTGGATTGATTATGTATTCTATGGCACTGAAAGTGCCATTATTTCCTGAAATACGAAATTACCAAACACCTAGGTAAACAATGACCTCCCCGAGAGTGGCTCACAATAACATGCCTCTCCCTAAAGCTGATGTATTCTTGTTATTTTTTTCTCATATTTTTACTTCACAAGTCAGTGAATGTATTCAAGGTAAGTACAAGGTTATTTAAGTAGGGGTAGATGATTGCTGTCATGATCAATTCCCATGTTGATTTCATTTCATTGTAAAAATAAATTACAATCCAATTTTGCTTAAGCACATTGATGTAATATTTTGGTATTGTTTGACATGGAACAAAACAGAAAAATTGAGTGATAGATATAATATGAAAATTGTTGATGAATGAAATCAAATTTATTAAAAAAGGACTAACTGAATTAAATGTGAAGACTGATTTTTTATCTTCTTCTTGGGCTATCTGCTGCTCAAATGGTGCAGTTATATTAATTCAAGGCACATCCAGTGGTATATGTCTATATGGATCATGCTAAGAAGAAATAGAAACAAGGCCAAGTGGAACAAATGTGAACACCAGCTGAACTTTTCAAAACCAGGATTTATTCAGAGAAATTCCCACTTGTCCCTCCCTTCAAATAAGCACTGTAAGAGGTTTAAAAAAATTGTTTTCATTGAAGTCAAAGAATGACCTCTGGTAAAAATGATACTAATTCTCACCTTGTTTTAATTTAATAAAATAAAGCAATTTGTCTTATTTATTATTCTCCAGTGAGAAAGTAATTAGCACTACCCAAAAAATGTATGAATCAGTGAGTAAATGAATGAAGGAATGAATGAATTTAGATCTTCAGGCACCGCAACCCAAATGGAACTTATATTGAAAAATACAAGGGTAAGTTCAGTATTGCTACAAAATCCGTTTTAGAGCTTATTCCCTTGTCTAATGTGCTGTCCAAAACATTTCCCAGGTTGCGGCGTCAAGTTTCACTCTTTTGATGAAGCTTTCTGATGTAATAAATGTCTTACTAGGATGTTCTAATCATATATTTTATCTTGTCTGTGTGCACATTTCTGTTATGTTTGGTAGTGTATTTATTGCCAGAATTGGAGCTTTTAAAACCTAAAAGCCCCTATTTTCTCATGATGGGCCCTATCACTCTGGGGTTTACATTTAGAACTGTAATCCATCTTAAGTTCATTTTTGTATATGGCGTGAATCATGTGTCCTTTCTCATTCTTCTACAGATGGAGATCCAATTTTGCCAGCACTGTTTTTTGAAAGACTGTCTCTTCCCCATTTAATATTTTTATCCCCTTTGCAAAGATCAGTCATCTGTAGTTGGATGGATTTATTTTTAGGTTCTCTATTATGTTCCATTGTTCTACATATATGTCATTGTATCAGTACAAGGCTATTTTGATTATTGTGACTGTGTAATAAGTTTTTATGTTGATAAGTGGACAAATATTTAAAATCTATAGATAACCACAGCACCTCAACAAGACTAAGACGGATAATCAAATTAACAATTGTCAAAGAACATGAACAGACAATTCACCAAAGAAAACATCCAGATGGCCAACTAAATATATGAAGAAATGCTCACGATCACTAGGCTCAAAAAGATGCAAATCAAAATAACAATAAGAAAAGTAAGGGTTAAAAAAATCAGAAAATAACAAAAGCTGAAGAGGGTGCAGAAAAATGGGAACTAATTCACTGCTGATTGTATTATAAAAATCACTGTGGAAAGTGACATGGTGCGACCTCAAATAACTGAAATAGAAATTGCGTCTGGCCAACCAATCCCTTTGCTGGGTATCCACCCTAAAGAATTCAGATCCGTTTATGAACAGGCATTTTATAGTCATATTTATTGCAGTTATTGTTCACAGCAGCAAGAAGATGGAAACACCCTAAAGATCTCCCAGTCGAAGAATGGGTAAAGAAACTTTAGTGCCTGCACACAAAAGAATACTAAAAACAATTGCTAAAAACACTAAGAACATGGCTAAAAACATTATACCACAAATCACCTCGTGGCACAGGGAGATATGTTCTGCTGAGTGAAATTAGTCAATCATAATAGGACAAATATATATGTAAATACACTAAAACAAAAAGTTTTCATACAAAAGAAACCAGACTTTGATGGCTACCAAAGTGGGAAGGGCAAGAGAGGGAAAATGAGGAAATAAGTGTAAGCTTAGACAGATGTTAACTTGGGTGAAGGGAATGGCAATATTCTAAAGGAAGGAGAAGAACCGAAAACCTGGTTCACAATTAAAAATTATTTTTAATTATTTATTTAAATAATTTTAATATTTAATTTGTTTTGTAAAATGTATTTATAAAATTTATAGGTAATATAATTATAATTATACACATATAATAAAATTTGTGTGCTAGGTAAAATATTCTAATATATCATATGCATTATATACTATATGTAATAAGGTTAATTTAATACGTGGTGGTAAATAATATTTAAATTAAATTATTTTTTAATTATTATCAAACAAAATATATGTATACATTTCTGAAGGCAGTAACTCCATTTCTCTAGCCCTTCTCCAAATGACACGCAGGTCTTCAAGTTACACTGCTCCAAAATGGCAGTTCTAACATCTCTCAAGGGACTTAAGTTATGTTTCATTTCAAGATTCTATGAGTTTGGGGAACAAAAAGAAGTCTGAAGGAGCAAAGTCAGGTTTGTCAGGTGGGTGAGGTAAGGTTTCCAGATAAAATTCATGTACAATAGTTCTTGCTACCTTCTGAAAATGAGGGAGCCACGGTGCGTTGTCATAATGAAAAACATTCCTCAGCACGACTTTCCTGGGGTTTTTTATTCAGTGCAGTTTTCCGTTTTCTTAAAACATCTTCATAATAAATCCTTGTGATCACTTATGTCCATTATGAAAATCTTTCAAGATTACTTCTTTGAAATCCCCCTAAGAAACCGCAGCAATGACCTTATTAATTGGTGCCTTGAGTGTAATTGACCCAGTATTCCCTTCACAAGCCACTAGTTTTGTGACATCTTTTTTTTTAAATCATGTTATTGGGGCTCATACAACTCTTATCACAATCCATACATACATCAATTGTGTAAAGCACACTTACACATTTGTTGCCCTCATCATTCTCAAAATTTGCTTTCCGCTTGGCTTCCTGGAATCAGTTCCTCATTTTCCTTTTCCCCCTCCCCCTCCCTCCCCCTTCCCCTTCCCCATGAACCCTTAATAATTTATAGATTATTATTTTATCTTATCTTACACTGCCCAGTGTCTCCCTTCACCCACCCTTCTGTTACTCATCCCCCAGAGAGGAGGTTATCTTTTTTTGAAGACACCCTAACTAGACTAAGACAATTGTATTACTGATTTCAGAGACATGTTCTAAAGGGTTTTGTTTGAATTAAATCACAGATGAACTGAAACCCTAGTAGCAATACGTTTTAACTTACCCTCATGTATCACATCATAAATTTCCATTTGCCATTGACTTGATCCTGGTTCTTTGTAGGCAATTTCACATGTGTCGGAATAGAAGTGTGTTTGGTCGGGTTTCCAAAGGCTGATTATCAAGAGTAGATCACCAGATCTTTCTTACATGATGCATCTGGCTGGACCTGAACCTTAAAACTTTTGTAGCAGCAGGGACTCTCCTGCATATACAAGTATATAGATAGATTTTTTCAAAAGCTATCAGATCACTTATAAATATCTTCAAAGGGATGCTGCCTACAATGGTGATTGTATCTTGCACATACCAGCTAGCGTAAGAAAAATAATAGTCTGAAGTAATATTCTAAAAGTTTTTTTCTCCTTACCTCTCTCCTCTTCTCCTGCCTACCTTTCCTCTCCCCTGCTCTCTCCTCTTCTTTCTTCATTTCATTTGAAAGCCTTAGAAACCCTATGAGGCAGTTCTCATCTGGCCGATAGTGCTGCTATGAATCAGAATCGACTCATTGGTTACCAGTTAGTTTCTGTATTAAAGGCTGAAGTATGATTTCAGAGTCAAATGTAAACACTATGAACCTCAATTATACAATACCAGCTGCTAGAACAGCTCTTTTTGCATACACCGTCAATTGATTCCACTTAATGGATGGAAAGACATAAAAATAAAAACAACCTCCTTTCTGCCTTTGCTCCTCTCTCTTCATTTTATGTGATCAAGCTCTCTGCCAATTTGCGGAATCTTGAAGTAGATATATTTTACACTAATTCCTTGTCTATGGATAGATCATCACTATGGGGTACTTTTTCACTTACTGCTACTCTCCTTGCTGGCTGAAAATCAAGCCAGGCTTGAAGGACTCACTGATGAATATTGAGGTAGTTAGTTTATTGTCCCAACCTGGCCGATAAACATAAGTGGGGCTAATTAAAGGGCGATGGGGTTAGTTGAAGGGCGAGGGATAAATGGCTCGGTGAGCCTCACCTTTCTAGTTCTCAGATCTCTTGCTTTCTGATAGTTGGACCAGGGTGCAGCTGCCTTAGCCAGTTTCCTGTTTTAGTTGGCAAGGCTCACTTCCCACAAAAGACATCCCTGAGGAGAAGCCAAATGGACCTACCCCAATGCAGCCCTGGGTGCTGGAGCAGCCGTGTGGAGACCCCTGCCAATGCTGAGATGCTTACACATTCACTGACTCGGCTTTCCTCCTGCAGTCGGCATCATTGTGTCTGTTTTGTGAGATGGAGGAGGACTTGGTGGATTGGTGTCGGACACATGGGTTAATGGGTTAATGTTGGACTTGTGGGCTTGGGCAGCACTGGGTTGGGATGTTTTTGATGTGCACTTAACCTTTATATAAAACTCTCTCTTGTGCATGAGTTTCTGTGGATTTGTTTCTCTAAAGTACCCAGATTAACACAAATATCAAAAGCTATGACTTTCAGTATGGATTTCAACTCAATATAAAGAAAACCAAAATTCCCAAAACAATACTATGTACTCAAAACATCATGGTTTAATGGAGAAAAGATAGAAGTGGTCCAGGATTCAATCTTGCTTGGCTCCACAACCAATATTCATGGAAGCAACAGTAAAGCAATCAAGGGGCACATTGTATTGGGCAAATCTTCTGTGCAAGACCTCTATAAAATGTTGACAAACAAGGATGCTGCTAGGAAAACTAAGATACACCTGATCCAAGTCTGAGGATTTCCAATTGCTTCCTATGCATGTGACTGTTGGACATTGAATAAGGAATACAGAGGAAGAATAGATACATTTGAATATGGTGCTTGAGAAGAACATTGAAAGTGTTGTGGACTTCCAGAATAACAAACAGATCTGTCAGAATGCTCCATCAAAGCAAGAATGGCAAGATTTTGTCTCACATAGTTTGACATGTTAACAGGAAAGACCAGTATCTGGAGAAGGACACAGTTCTTGGTAAAGTAGAGGGTTAGTGA